TTCCCTGAATCTCCTGAGAGTGTAGGTTTTGTAGAAGTTTCTTCCTGGTAGATCTAATCAGGCCAAAACTAGTTAGTGAAGACAGTCGTGTAGTATCTGTGTACCAAGTCCTTTAAACTGGGCCCAGAAGCTAATTTGTAACCAATGCAGGGTCAATAAAACTGGTCTTAGATATTCTCAACATCATGTTTCCAGAACAATATGAGCTACTGCATTTTGAACATCTGTCATTTCTGAACAATATTTAAGGGCATCCCCCTATAAAGTGCCTTAAAGCAGTCTAGAGTGATGGTAATAATGGCATGGGTTTGTGTTATCTGTGTGCCAAGAAAGAGCCTATCATGTAAGGAACAAGTGTGTTCTTGGCCCTTTTAGATATAATTTCATTTCCTCCTCAGCTGCGGTTGCTGATTTTAGGGACTTTAAAAAATAAATATTGATACAACACAACTGGAAAAGATTAGAAATAATGGACTGTAGAGCAAGTTTAGGTTAATAATATAAGGAAAATGTGAGGATTTTCTGCTTTTTTTTTACCATATTCATATCAATTTTCCTTCTTATCTGTACACAAGTGACATGGTGGTTGGTTAAAAAAGTTGTGCTCTCATTCACCTTCATGGTGTTCTTCAGTTACAAAATATATTGCCTCTGCTCCATGCAGGGAAAATTACTTTTTTTCCTTAACCAACCCCAACCAAACAGTGAAATTCAACTCTTCCTGTTATTCCCTTGTATATTACCTTTTAGCCTTAATTTAATTGTCCAAATTAAATTAAATCCATAGTCACAAAACGCCACCAATCCTGCAAAGATATTGGTACTTTGCAGACAACTCACAGCCTGCATAATGTTTTAATGCACAATTAATTTAATAGCTCCCCCTGAAGAAATTAGAAACCAGCATTGCCATTCAAGCAGCTATAATATCTCAATTATAAACAAGGCAAAGCTGATAGAATGGTAGATGGAGGTGGCGGTTTCATTCAGTCATGGTTTAATGATGCTCATAAATACTGTAATAAAGTCAATGTGTCTGGCTTTTATGTAAATTGCCACCCAGGTTCTTTTCTGCCTTTAGCTTGAATTACATAACACTTTTTATAAGTATGCCAGATTATTCTGCAGGAGAATGTGGGAAATACCATGTGGTTAATACTGCCCATGTCCCCAATTAAATATGAAGAATTAAGTATGTCATCTGTCCAAGGAAATTTCATATAGAGATTTGCAAATTGTTTTTCCTGGCTCACAACAATTTCTCAGCTGGTCTGGGGCAAAGATAGGGTAGAAAGACTTGAGCTACAGCTGTAATATATTAATTTATGCCATATATAAAATCTGTGACATTTCTGCTTCTTACTGTATTCGTCTCCCTGTCAGAATATCACAATATGATTACACTTCTCTATGGTCCTGCATTGTTATAGTACAAAATTATAACCCCATGTCAGAATTTTGGATGTAAAACAAAATAATCTAACATTTGGCTCCACACAATTCATAAAGTTCACCCATAATAATTTTTTAAAAACCTGCTTATATAGCAGTCTGGGAAAAAAAGGTCTAATCTTCCTTATTTCTTGCAATTAATCTCAGCTTGATTTGGTATTGAAAGGAATAAAAAAGTATCTGCTTGTCTAGAACCCACATATTTCTAGAGTTTTGACTGAAAGAACGTGTGTTACAGCAATGACTATTTACTTGAGATTATGGTAAAAAGAACACTTAAGAAATGTAAGCTCTTTATAAATGTCAACTGAAGCCCGGCACAGCATTCAGCATGCTGAAGCCTATTCAGATCATGATTCTTAAGCTTAAATCTTAAAATATATAGTTGGGAAATATATGCCTGAGGAAATAGCCTCATTAGTAATTTTTAGAGAACCATTGCAGCCAATATATGTCTATTAGAATTAATGTTTCCAGAGTTATTGCTTCACTTAAATTGGTTACCCTTTTTATATTAACAGGACACATCACAAACCGATCCAAAACTATGAAAAATAAAAGTTTTTTAGTACTTTTATCATTTTTTATATTATGTTGCTGTAAATGGAGTTCATTTCTTCAAACATATATTCTCTGTAGCAGTCTCTCTGTCTCTCTGTCTCTGTCTCTGTCTCTCTCTCATTTTTTTTTCTTTCCATTTGAGAGAAAGGGAGAGAGAGGAAGAAGAATGGAGAGAGGCAATATTCATGAGTGCACAGCAGCATTTCTTCTATATCCAAAACAACTAAACTTGGGAGTCCTTGAAATTCTTTTCTGTGCCTCTTCCAAACCATTTCTGTCTTACAGTGACTAAAAGTTGGTGGCACTTTGTTTTGCCGTATTGGGTATAAAATATCATTCTAAAAACACTTCCACTAACCTTTAAAAAGACAAAAGTAATCCATCCTCAATTCAGCCCATTTTCCATCATCCTTCTTCTACTATCATCTTCATTCCAAAGCAACACGATGTTTTGTAACACGATGAACAATCTTCATCATGTTGAACAACGATCAAAGGAAAATTAAGCAAATGGCCCTGCAGTATCTTACAGTATCTCTTCAAACAATACTTGAGCAAGAAGAAAATAGTCTGTGATAGAAATATATGGATTTTAATTCAAAAGATTTAAAAATTGGTTGAACAGTTGAAGAACTAACTTCCCATTTCCGCAAGAGAAAGCTTAATTAAGAAGTACAATTTAAGAAATACTGTTGATTTTATCATATCTTTTGGTTGTGTCCTTCATCCCCCCACCAAAAATCCAATATATAAAACAAGTGAAACGAAGTTCTGTTAAAGCCTTATTCCCAGCAATAAAAGAAGTAAGAACATCAGGACATTGATATTGATGTCAATGTATTGGATAACCTAAAGCAGAGGTGGTATTCAGCAAGTTCTGACCAGTTCTGGAGAACCAGTAGCGGAAATTTTGAGTAGTTCGGAAAACCGGAAAATACCACCTCTGACTGGAGATTTTACACTATCGTTCCCCTGCCATGCCCACCAAGAACTGATAGTAACAAAATTTGAATCCCACCACTGGCCTAAAGGCAAGATAGGTTGTGTGGCTATGTGCATGGGTGTTGTGTATTCTTTGAACTGAATCCATTTTTTAACATTCATGTATAACCCAGATTCAACAGACATACTTAATATCTATCCATACTTACAGTGTTTGCATATAATGAGAAATTCTTAGTATATTGTTTTGTATAAAGTTTCTATGTTGGTTCATGGTTTATAAATGTGTCATGAACATCTGAACAACTGAGTAAAACATAATTAGATTAAACAAGGATACCATATCATTTTAATAGGTTGTGGATATCAAAAAACTATTTTGACAATTATGAAGACAATAATCAAAAGAAGAAAAGATAGATAAGTTATTATACAGATGCACCTAGGTGCCATTAATTAATCATTGACTTTAGGCATGTTTAAATACTAACATTTATTTTAAAAAAAGAATCTATGCCAATTTAATATAGATGAAAGATTCAGATGTGCATCTTTTAGATATATCTCAATTTGTGTCTTTGGGACATTTTCCCATCTCATAAAAGGTGATTTAAAAATCCATCCACTGCATGTAACATACTCTTTCTTAGACCACATACAGGGTGAGAGTCAGTTAGATCTGTATAAATTATCATAAATATTGTGTGACACAGCACTGTATTCCTTAAATATAAATGTTTTCTACTTATTTATTTGCATACTTCCACAAATATACCTACAACTTAAAAAGACTAGCTTACATGAAAATACTTTATTGCTGCTTTTATGTGTTCGAAGCATGATAAATCATTTTAGAAATGGCTTTGATGCATTTAAACTATCATAAGAAATTTCCAGAAAATAATACTCAACAGAAAATATTTTGACAACTCAACAGACACTGAACCAAATATATGTATGCGACTTTAGCATCTGCTCTTCACATTGGTTTGATCATTTTAAGGGAAGACATTTCTCCAAACATGAAGTCCATTATTTATCTTCGCATATGGTGCTCATGTAACTCACTAGAAATTTAAGAGTTCCTATTTTGCTATGATTGTAGAAGTAGGACAACCAAATATGGAAGCAATTCATGCCTCTTTTTTACTTTTTCAGAAGCCAATCTTTTTCAGTTCATTGCTATTAGAAGCAGCAACCCATATCCTTATTGGGGATTTATTCCCAACTAGAAAATAGTTAACACTCTGCCTATTGAAAGAGGAGCCTAATATAGTTGAGGTGTATCAGAGCTGAATTATAACACCTTCGTCTTGAATTGCCTACATATTACAACACAAACATGACATTCTTAGCTGAGCTTATATCTTATCAACTCCAACAGAAGCCCATTAAATGGAATTAAGATTGAATAGATCCACTGAAAAGTCAGGGAAGATATTAATTTAAAAAGTGTACATTCTTATTTAGTTAAATAATTTGTATGCATGTCTTTAGAAAATATAAAATTGCATATAGTTTTCATAGAGCAGGATCGAGGCATAATTTAAAGAGTGTATTATTTAATCCTGCCAGCATATACCATGAGATGTACTGCTAGTTTCATTCAGATTGTTATGTCCATCCCCTCTGCATTGTAGTGCGTAGCAATAAATCTGTGATCTTTGGAGCTTCTATAGAACTGTACATGTGAAAGGACTTTAAAAATCTGTTTGTTTATAAACACACAGCTTTTGTTATTGTTTTTTTATATATGTAAATTTAAATTGATTTTTTTCTCTAAACAATTCTGTAATCTCTCGCATTGGGGTGGAGTCGGGACGACTGCACGGAGTTCAAGCATTTACTAGCCAGATGCCCTTCCTGACACCTATACGGAGTTCGCAGCACTTATTAATTGTGCCCAGAGAAATATCCGCCACTACCTAAGATCGAACTCAAGCCTCCTAGAGCTCCACCTCTAGACCAACATGCCCTCATAATTTAAAATTGATTAAAAGTAGGATATTACTATATTACTATTACAACTCTAACTCCAAAGGAAATACTGTTTCAGTTTCCAAACAGCCCTCAACTCTCTCACACACTGACAGGACACTAGCCAGATGAATACTAATGGATGCTGGTAGGCAGAGGCAGATATTTTTTCCCCCTTACTTTCCTCCCCACAAACTAAGTCCAACCACATAGTTTCATATGTGGTCAGGGTGCCATATTGTTGAATTCTGGTATATTGTGAGAAATATAGGAAGAAATCACATGCTAGTAAGATATGGAGTAAGTTGAAATTGAGCTAAATTATTTGGGGCTTATAAAATGTGACAGGTTGGCCACCTGTTCTGGTTCTATCAAGCTATACTGGGAACAGCTGAAGATCTACTCAAGAGGATTTTCCATCACAGTCCTCACCACCTGGATAGCTTATTGGGGAGATTATCATGCCAGCAACATGATTGCCATCTGGATGCAAGGGCAGACTTTTTCCATTTTCCATTTTGGCAAATAAGAATTGAAAGGTCCAAATTCTAACCCACCAAAAACTCTGTTTGGATTTTCTCCTGCATTTTCGTTGTGGTTTTTCTCTCTCTATGCTGTACTGTGCAAGGCAGACTTTGGATCAGTCTGAAACTGAGCCTTTTTGCAACCCTTCTGCTATGTTCAGGAAACAGTTTTTCTTCCTTATAATGTGGATTAAATCACCTGCCCAGAAATAAAGAAATAAACCATCTGAAAAGAGGAGAGAGTAGATAGAATTTATGCCATAATGTACAAGCAGTCTTAGACTTACTATCACAATAGAGCCCCAAGTTTCTGTTGCTACGTGAAATATTTGTTAAGTGAATTTTGACACATTTTACGACTTTTCTTGACACAATTGCGAAATGAATTGCGCCAGTTATTAAGCTAGTAACCCAGTTGTTAAGTGAATCTGGTTTCCCCATTGACTCTGCTTGTAAGGAGGTAGGAAAATATGATCACAGGACCCCAGGACACTGCCAACCATCATGCGACCACAAGGATGTAAGTGTGAAAAATGGCCATAAGTTACTTTTTTCAATGCCGTTGTAATTTTGAACCAACACTAAATGAACTGCTGTAAGTCGACGACTACCTATATAATTCTGGTTAATTCATGACCAGTCGTTCTGCGTTTCTTTGCTTATGAACCCCAAAGCCTATTTTGTTTCTTACTAGTGTCTGAATAAGAGAGGAAAAACACCGATCTGCCAAACTTTCCTTGAATATATTAAAAATATTAAAATCTATCAAAGCCAAGTTTGTGCTGCTGATGCCAGTCATGAATGCTTTTCTTTTCAGAAAAGAACTGCTAATGTTTAATTCTCCTGAATCTGGTAAGGCTTACATTATATTCATTTCTGCAATCATGTAAAATATTCTACTGTTTGAGTTTAGACAGGCAAGGACCATTGCCGGGTGTTATATATTTTAAAAAGAACTTGCTATTGTTTTGCTGGTTTAACTGTAATGTGCACAAATGTCATTTCCTCTTACAACTAGAATTTGCAAATATACAACTTATATAAATACATTAACAATAACAATAATACATATTTATACAGAGCATAGCACTACCTATATTAAGGGTTGCAGTGCTACTCTTTAACTGTGTTTTGCAATAAGATAATGGGATAAATGTTATTTATACACACAGAGACAATCAAAACACTCTACTTTAAAAATTGATGCAGTACAATAATAATGGGTGTATCTTCAGCTTTTGACACAAAATGACCCATAACCAGCCAGTGGAAAACACAAAGAAGACATGGATTCAGTTGTTGATTCTTTTTGAGCACATTTAGAGTCTTTTCTTCATAAAGGACAGATATATATTACAGAAAATGTGAATTATTTATATGGAGATCCACTGTGATTTTACAAACACAAAGGAGAAATCATCCACATGTCTCATATAATAGGCATGGACAACCAAAGTCTGTTTTCTTCATCCATCTGTACCACTAATGGTCCTGAGAACATCGGCCTCTTCTCAAACTTATATCATCCAACCCAATTTCCCCAGTTCTTCCTTTTCCTTTTTCTCCTTTAAAAATAACCTGAGAGAGAAAATGAAAATAAATTAATAGACATATGAGATTGACTGGGTTCATATATCATGTTAAGCTGTTGCTTGCTTAATAAGTAACAATGGCTTTAGCTATACATAAAACCAAGCTATGAACCATGATTGATGAAACACAACAATTATGCTCACACGTTGTACTAAACAAAACATTTTGGATAAGTGTAATGTGTGAACTTTGCAACGTTTTATAGACTGCTGTTCCTTTAGTTTATTATATGATCTAGGGCAGGGTGTCAAACTCAATTTCATTGAGAGCCACATCAGGGTTGTGTTTGACTTTGGGGGGCCAAGGGTGGGCCTAGCTAGCTCGATATCACTTATGTTGCGGGTGCCTGTGGTGGCCCAAGCACTCTGCCAGCAAAAACTAGCTCCCAAGCTCTGTTTACAGCTGTGACAGCCTCCTGCAACTCTCTGCCAGCAAAAACGGAGCTCGGGAGGACAGCCCTCCTGAGCTCCATTTTTGCTGGCAGAAGCACCGTGGGCAAGTCCTCTGCTGTGTCCAGGACACCCTGCGGGCCAGATGTAAGTACCCCATGGGCCGGATCCGCCCCCCGGTCTTGTGTTTGAAACCCTGGATCTAGGGTGTTTAGAGAAATATGGAATATTTTTAATAGGAGTTCTATAAAAGGAGCCAAATTTGCATTTACTTATCATGTACATCCAAGTTAATCACAGATTATGAATAGATTTATAACAATAAGGGAGGTTTCTAAAACTATAAAAAGATTGAACTAGGAAAGGTGCCTGGACAAGATGAATGATCAGGTATTAATATAAATGATTTGAGGATGAACTTTTACAACCTTTACAAAGCATGATTAATCTTATAGGGAGGAAAGTGCCAGAGAACTGGAAAGAGGCCAGTAGAGTATTAACATCCAAAGAGGGACAAAATTTGACTTTAACAAGAAACTATAGGTCAATATCATTATTGAATAACAACAACTGCAAGTTGTGTGCAATTATTTGGGCTGATAGACTGAAAATAATTTTGCAATAATTTATTAATGGAGATCAACATGGGATTTTACTTGAAAGAGAGTTAAAGGACAATCTTAGAAAACAATCCACCAAATCTTTCCATATGCACGCATGTAGTAATCTTGCCACAGTTATGACATGCAAAGTTCCCATAATTTTTCCAGCTGTTGGTCCAAAAGAAAGATCTTTGGTCTCAATTGTATATTAATCTTTAAAATCTTCTAAATCAGTTTATATACCTGAATCCACAATATTGTAGTTTTTTAACATGTCCACCAAATATGATAAAATGTTTCTGCTGTATTTGAAATGTTTTCATACCTTTCTATACTTCTAGACAATTTCTCTGCTAACATATACTAACAGTACATCATTTTCTAAAAATTATCTTTAAGATTAAAACATGTAAATTTCAATCCTTTCAACCACTTATTTATCCATTGTTGCATATATTGTTCTGTATATTACTCTCAAAAACCCTTTATAATTCTTTTCATCAGTCTTTTACTTGCTCTGTTTCAAATTTCAATTGAAGTGTATACATTTTAAAATTCCAGGTCCATCTTTTGTACATAATTTCATTTGCACTCCATGTTATGACATTCAAAAGAATAAACTCCTTTTTGTCTACTTTAAATAGTTCCATCAACCAGTCTCTGTCATCAATTGCTTTTCTGATTTTATTTTGTATTCTCCTTGACAAATTTCTAATATTTCATAATAAGTTAGCCATTTGTATTTGTTTATTATTTCTTGTCTATCAAATGCTTCTTATGCTGAGAGCCACAGAAGTATTTTCAGGTAAAAACCTGAATTTTTATCTATTCAATATTCTCAGTAAGTCACATCTAACATAATGATTTTTTAAATCCACATTAACCTTCCTTCTATCATATCACAAATATCCATCCCACCCAGATTTTGTGCACGAAGAAGTGTTCTAGATTTTAAAATCATGAAATCTTGCAATTGAAGTGGAGAATTGCAGTTTAAGTAGTGCTTTCAAATCTAATCAATACCTGAAGAAAAATGGTTATTGTGGAAAGATCAATATTTTGAGGAATCTGGGGAAGAAGATATGCTTTATATGTCTCAAGCTCAATCCATAAAATAATACAACTGGGAATTTAATCCAATACTGAGGAGAGCAGGGAAGATCTTTACTTATTAGAAAGTATAATGATTAAGATGTTAGATGATTTAATTTTTATCATGGTTCATAGAAAAAGGTGCAATGCAGTTACTATTTTTATAATTAACATCAAGCAATCAAGACTTAATTGAAGAAATTGTAACACATTTAGAGATTAATAGAAGGAAATGTAAATATTGCTTTCCCTCTTCATATCTCTCTCTGTGTCTGTCTGTCTCTGTCTCTATCTTTCTCCCTCTCTCTCTCCCTCTCTCTCTTTTCCTTAAATCCCAGAATTGTACTCACACTTTTGATGCCAGGTCCTTTCAGTGTTATATGCGTCTGACTCCAACCATGACCTCTGTTCCTTCCCCAAATTGCTGGCCCATGAATACCAGCCTTTCTTAGAAAGACTTGAAGCAAACCATAGTGTAATCCAGATACTTTATGCCGAAAAGATAAGCACAGATCTTCGGAGCGAGCTAAATGGCCTAGTGGGAGAACCAAGCGGGCAAATCGACCTGCCTTTCCTTTGGGTTGAGAAATAGATAAATATTGTCCACCTGTTTAAGACAAAGTGGGACAAGAAAACAAATTATTTCAACATGCCCTTGAAAAAAAACATCATAATAAAGAATTAAATTTGTGGCTGCAACAAAAGGCCAATATTTGCCACCCAGCTGTAGCACTGCGAATAATATGAGTGTAACACTGATTTGATTGATTGATTTTAATTTATTTATACATTTACTTATATACACACACACACACACAATTTAGTTAAAAATAGAAAAATTGACTCAGATCTGAGAAAACATAAGTAGAATAACATAGTGTATATATGAGTGCTATCACCTGCATTTTTCTATAATATCGCAGAAGATATTTTATCTAATTCAGAAAGTATTGTTATCTACTTTGGTAAATAATAAACACTTTTTTTAAAAAAAATTCCAAGCTATAATAACTGAATGTTGGGTCTTGAGAAACATGTTTTGCAAAAACAAATATTTTTTTTCTCATCAATATTTTTTAATTAAAATTTGATCCTCTAATTTTCCATTGGTGGAAGGACACTTTGAGGACCCTATTACCCAAACAAAACTAGAGCTGCAACTAAAGAAATAACAGCAAAGTATTAATAATCTAGACATATTCAATGAATTTCCACTGTTTACTTTGGAATGTTTCATACACCATTTTTTCTAAGAGGGAACGTAAGCGTTTTTCATTTGAAACTAATCTTAAAATATTTACTGCCTGGAACAATTCATGTTTCTGAGGAACTTAAGAGCAGAGGTGGGCTGCTGCCAGTTCTCACCAGGTCGGACAAACCGGTAGTTAAGTTTCTGCACAGTTCTGCGAACCGGCAAATCCCACCATTGGCTGGTGCCCCCCTGCTAGTTTTTTGGCTGTTTTCAGGCCATTTTCTGTCCTGAAAACACCCCAAAGAACATCCCTGAAAATGGCCCCAAAATGGCTGGAAAACGGCACAAAAACGGCCAGAAAACAGGCTGAAAAACTGGGATGTGGGGCAGCCAGTGGTGGGATTAGCCCCAACTGGCTGAATTCTACCTCTGCCTTTGAGGGGAGTGACTGGGAGGCAGGACTGGGCATGATGAGTGATTCACATGAAATAACTGTCCGCACCTTCCCAGCCAGAGAACCGGTTGTTAAATTATTCCAATTCCACCACTGGTTAAAAGTATAGAAAATCTTCCACTTTCTCTTTTGGATGTATGCAGGTTTGTATCCATAGATTTCAGATAACTTTAAACATGTTCACTTATGCAAAAATCACCCCACTTCCTGTAAACATAGTGTCTAGAGCCATAATTCCAGAAATATACCTAATATTTGCCATTAGTTACTCATCCATGTACTTCTTCATGCCAGGGTAAATAATATGTTGGCAAAAGCTATCAACTGTTAGAGGAGAAGACTGGAATGAGTAAAAAAGTAGTAATTTATTTCATTGATGTCTTATGAGAATTCAAAAGTGTATTAAAGTTGCCATGCCACATTTAAACATGCTATCAATATAATAAATGCATATATATTTTGAATTTATTTTTAATATTTCAAGTTAGAAAAATTATCTAAAGAATATATACATTTTATACAAATGCGGTACTAACAAAACAAAGGCATAGCATTAGAAGGCATAACATTTTATTTAGCCTTCCATATATAGTGTCCATACTGTACTTGTAGTGTGGCTATATTATCTAGTTGTAATGCCCAAAGTGAATCTTTCCCAAGCCATATTTAAGTGACTTGAGCTGTCTCAGTGCAGCTAGGTAATTATATAAATCCATATTCAGAACCACACATTATTAGTAAGTAGTTTTCCAAAGCTTCAGTTACACCACAGCCTACACTTATTTAGATTTAGACATACTGCCCTCATCAAACATTGTCAATTACAAAGAAAAGAAGTAAATGTTAATATGATTTAGGAACAAAAATATGAATGAATATGCAAGAAAATTGCCTTAAGAGTTATTATCGTGTCATCCACACACTGCTTTTCAAACTTTTCCATCCAAGGAACAGTCCAAAGAAAATGGCCCTTGAACATTTATATACACAGGAAAGTTAAAACAAAACTTTACATTCTAACAGAAACGCTCCTCAACTCCAAATAAATCAATTGCCAGAAATATATGCCTTTTTTCCCTTATTTCTGATTCTTTGCTTATCATATAGCACTGTCTTCAATGAAAGAAAATTGAGCAATACCTGAGGAGTCTTTAACAGGTTCCCAGTGTGAATCATCATTTCTTTCTTTGATCCATCCACACAAACCACCATCAAAGTTGCAACTATGAATCAGAACACCTACAGAGATCAAGAAAATCAAGAAAAAGAGCTTTGGACTTGAGACAGGTTAACTCAGTCCTCTGTAAACATGCTGGGACTTTCATTCGAATACTTTGAAGGTACTAGATTGGTAGAGGCTAAGCCAAGTGTGAAGTTATTATGTGTAGTCAATGTTCACACAAATAATGTAAAGGATATATCAATCACATCTGCAAAAAGGAGAAGCTTTATTAGTGCATCAATTGATGAAAACAAAGGAATTCTAAGCCATTTTCCTGCTGTGCTCTTCTCTTCATTTCAGCTTTTAGAAAAGTATGGGGTACCCAATTTAGTTAAAATTTATCCTATTGGAGCAAATTATAAAGTTGTGTAGATTTCATTAGATTTATCCCACTACTTTCCTCAGAATTCAAGGAATGGCTTTTAGTAAGTAGAGTTATCGTTTTATATTGCAAGCCCAACTGGTTTGTACACATTAGTATTAAAATACACATATGCCCGGTGATACACATATTCTTAGGAATGTAGTACATAAGAAACAGTAATGCTTTCTTCTTAACAGAGCTTTCTAGAATGCTAACTAGATCCAAACTGACAAAGTGCTTACCTGGGTCATCATTTGCTTCAGCTTCACTGGCACTTATCCCTTGTTCAATTTCAAATGTTTCTAAGAGATGATTGTTCACTCCAGGCTGGCGGGGAACTGGCAGAGAAAACCAACATGCCATTAAAAAAGAAACAATAAAATAGAGAAGGAAGTCAACCACAGATTATTACATAGTTTACCTGCCAACCTATTGTCAAGCTTGAATGCAAAAGCCATTTGGGTGAGCTTGTAAGAAATACAAGGATTTCAGCTAAGCAATAATTATAGAGGCAATAACCAACTGCTATGATTCATGAAGAAGACCCTAGAGAGAGAACCATATTCAGATCCTCCTGCATTTCCTTCCTAACAGTTTTTGAACAGGCTTAGTTGTTTCAATCTTTGTTTCTGCTTCCATTGCCAAACTGCTCTGTTTTCAATTTTTCCTAACATCCAACTACATTACAGATAATCAGCTGTATTGCTAGAAATATTCTTATACAAGAGTGATGCATCTTCTGATTTGTTTGATGCTTCATCAACTAAGATTTTAGAATTATTTTGATTTGTCAATCACTAACAAGATAATAGGTGTAAGTATAAACATAGTTATGAATATATGAAATGGATACATATGAGAAAAATGAAAGAAACAATAGGACAGGGACAGCAGGCACATTGGTGCACTTATGCACGGCCCCTAGGAAAGGAGTGAGGTCAATAGTAGACAATCTAAGGTTAAAGTTTTTGGGGTTTGGGGAAGAAACCACAGAGTCAGGTAGAGTATTCCAGACATTGACCACTCTGTTGCTGAAGTTGTATTTCCTGCAATCAAGTTTTGTGTGGTTAACCTTGAGTTTGCTCTTGTATTGTTATGGTTGAAGCTGAAGTATTCATTGACAGGTAGGACATTGCAATGTATGATTTTATATACTATACTTAGATAGGACTGAAGATGGCATAGTTCTAGGTTTTCTAGGTCTAGAATTTCAAGTCTGGTGGCATAAGGTATTCTGTAGATGAGTAGAGGAGTGGAGAATTCTTCTTGTGAAATATTTCTGGACTTTCTCAACTGTGTTAATATCAGATACGTAATGTGGGTTCCAGACTGATGAGCTGTATTCAAGTATTGGTCTAGCAAATGTTTTGTATGCTCTAGTTAGTAGTGTGATATTACCAGAGAAAAAGCTACATAGGATTAGGCTAACAACTCTTAATGCCTTTTTGGCTATGTAGTTACAGTGGGCTCTAGCACTTAGATCATCAGAGATGAGTATTCCAAGGTCCTTGACAGAGTTTGGATCCTCAACAAGGTCTTGACTATTCAGCCTGTATTTTATTTTCTGATTTTTTTTGCCAATATGTAAGACAGAGCATTTATTTGTTGAGATTTGAAGTTGCCATTTGTTTGACCATTCTGATACATAGCCAAGGTCTTTTTGAAGGGTAGCAGTATTGTCTGTAGTGTTGAATAGCTTTACATCATCAGCAAAGAGAACACGGTTGCTCTTAATATGCTCACAGAGGTCATTTATGTAGAGTATGAAGAGAGTTGGTCCTAGAACACTGCCTTGGGGGGCACCACTGTTGACAGGTACAGAATTTGATAGGACGCTCCCAATTTTGACCATTTGTTGTATGACAGGAATGCTTCTATCCAGTTATGCAGGTGTCCAGAGATACCATGAGATTTTAGTTTTAGGAGTAGTTTGTTGTGTACCACTGAATCAAAGGCTTTACAGAAGTCTATGTAGATTGCATCTATTGCTTTGCCCTGATCAAGTTGTGTAGTCCATATGTTTTTGCAGTGTAAGAGTTGCAGATTACAGAATAGTTCTTTTCTGAAACTAAATTGTTTATTAGAGAGTAGGTTGTTTGTCTCTAAGTGGAGGATGATGGATTGGTTAATAATTGATTCCATGACTTTACAGGAGATGCAACATAAAGAGATTGGTCTGTAATTTTCAACTTGGCTGGGGTCTCCCTTTTTGAAGATGGGGATGACCGTGGCTTGTGACCATAGGTTAGGCAAGGAGCTGGTCCTGAAAGATTTTTCAAAGATTATGCTTAGAGGTTCGGCTATGGCAGTGGGTAGCTTTTTTAAGAAGCAGGCACATATTCCGTCAGGTCCAATAGATAGAGATGGTTTTAGATTGCGTAGTGATTTTTCAACATTGTCTTCTGTAAAATCAATATGTATTAGATCATTGTAGTTGTCTGTGGTTCGACTAGGAAATACATTGCTGTTTACAAATACTGAGAAAAAGAATGTGTTAAAGAGGTTGGCTTTAATGGTGTCGTCATTGCAGTCTTTACCATTAGGTCCTTTCAGGGGTGGGATGGACCTTGAATCTTTTGGTTTGTTGTTTACAAAATTGTAGAAAGCGCAGGTGGAATTGGTGCATAGGAGCTTTTCCTCTTGTTTAATGTGATAATTGGTGCATACAGTCTTTATCTCGTGGCATAAATCTCTGTATTGGCTTTTGAAGTTGGCAACATGACCAGATTTGTTTTTCCGCCAAAGATGACCTTTTCTCACTCCAAAAGAGAACCTATGATATGAATTTCCAATTTAAACAATTTTGTTGTTAGTTACAAAATTGTGTTTGACCCATTGTGACTCCATGGACAATGTTCCTCCAGGCCTTCCTGCCCTCTACCATCTTCTGGCGTTCATTTAAGCTCATGCCAACTGCTTCAGTGACTCCATCCAGCCACCTCATTCTCTGTTGTCCCCTTCTTCTATTGGCCTCAATCTTTCCCAGCATTAGGCTCTTCTCCATTGAGTCCTTCCTTCTCATAGATGGCCAAAGTATTCGAGTTTCATCTTCAGGATCTGGCCTCCTAAAGAGTAGTCAGTGTGGATCTCTTCTAGGATTGACCAGTTTGACCGCCTTGCAGTCCAAAGGACTTCTCTAGCACCATAGTTCAAAGTTGCCAATTCTTTGGCACTCAGCCTTTCTTATGGTCCAAAATTTAAACAATAGTGATATTTTAATGAAATACTGTATATTGAGGTAGACATTACTTAAGAATTTTGTGCTTGTCTATACAAAGGAAGAAGTTCTTGTATTTATGCCATTTTAATTTTCTGGAAGAACATGAATACTATAATTACAGTACAGCAATGATAGAGCTTTTTTGGGTGGCATATAGCATTATTTATTTCTTAGATATATGTACTGTCAGCACAATCTGCAAGGTAGTTTGCAATAAATATATTTGATACTAAAACCAGAACTAAATAATAAAATCAACTTCTGATATTTAAAATGATGGAAGACGTGAATCATTAAAAAAAAACCTGAATAAAATATCAGTAATTAGCCTGTCTTAAAAGCATTGCAGAAAAAATATGTTTTTAAAGATCGCTTTTATTGGGGGAGAAAAATCTGGAACATCTGCTATTGTCGCTGCTAAAAAGAAAAACTTGAATGATGCCAAGGCCCAGATAATTCAGGGAAACTGTGCTTTCACTAGGATAGTTTTGGTTTTTAGTTGTAACTATTCAGACAGAGCCCTGATTAAGATCAGTCTGCTTGAACATCTAATATGTGATAGGCTTTTATTTAGTATCTGGGTAGGAATTTTGCCATTCAGTAACCCCCACTATGATGTGATATGAGGCACAATAGTTTCATTTTACATTATTTTATATAGCATGCATTTATATTTTTAAATTAAGGCATGAAACACAAAATGCTCATCCTATGAACTATTTTAAAAGCCAAACTTGTTCTAGCAAAGACTATCTGGTGAGTTGCCTGTGGGCCTTCTTCTTTCTAGGACAATCTCTCCTTCCCCAATTCTCCTTTCCAAATTTCAGGAAAAGGAGAGGGATTCTACTCCATATGCAGGAATGATCAAATCCCAATCCTGCAATATTCCTCAGAATTTCTCTTTAGTTTCTCCAATAACATTTAACAGATGGATTTTCTATAGGAAAAAAGAGAATGGGAGGCTGTTAGCTACAGTGACCACTGCTACTTTTCTCTTTTGCCAGTAATGTCCTGAACCTTCTTCTAGAGTAAAACTGTGTGGAGTTGGCAACCAGACATTTTGGAATTTAATTTATATCAGCTAGTACAAGTAATCCTTGTCTTACAACCATTTCTTTAGATCCCTGGTAACACAATGGTTAGAATGTAGTATTGCAGGCTAACTCTGCCTGCAGTCTGGAGTTCGATCCTGATGTGGTTCAAGCCTTCAAGCCTTCCAGTAAAATGAGGACCTAGATTGTTGGGGACAATATGTTCACAATATAAATCACTCAAAGAGTGCTGTAAAGCACTATGGAGCGGTATATAAGTCTAAGTGCTATTGCTATTTGTTTAACAACCATTCAAAATTATGACACCATTGAAAAAAATAATTTACAACTGATTCTCACGCTTATGATTGTCACAATGTCCCTGTAATCAGGTAATCAAAATTTGGGTGCTTGGCAGCCTGCATGTATTTACAATGGTTGCAGTATTCTGTGTTCATACGATTGCCATTTGAAACCTTCCTAAATCAATTTCTGGCAAAGCTTTGCTTCTGATTCAAAGCAAAGTTAATGGAAGAAACCAGTGTGGGGTGCTCCATCGCTGGATGTTTTTTTAAAAAGAGCTGTATATAGCTTTGTATATAGCAGGGATCCCCAAACTTTAAAGACTTGTGGACTTCAACTCCCAGAATTCTCCAGCCAGCTATGTGTTCACATGATTGCCAATTGAAACCTCCCCAATCAGTTTCTGACAAAGCTTTACTTCTGGAGAATTCTGGGAGTTGAAATTTGCAACTCTTAAAGTTGCCAAGTTTGGAGGCCTCTGGTATATAGGGTCTCCTGTTTATAGGGTCTCCTGTTTATAGGGTCTCCTGTTTAAGCAGGGGGTTGGACTAAAAGACCCCCAAGCATCCTTCCAACTCTGTTATTATGTTATTTGCTTAACAATTGTGTGATTCATTTAACAACCATGACAGAAAGGTAACAAAAACTAGTGTAACCCGCTTAATGACTGTCTTGCTTAAAGACAGGCATTCTGGTCCCAATTGTGGGTTTAAGCCAAGAATTACCAGTATAGTAAACCTAAACCTAACCGCATGTAATATATCCCCGTATACATGGTCATCTTAAAATATGTGAATTTTTTAGGAATCAAGATCTGTGTATGAAAAAAGGATGCTTCCTAAGGCTAAATTCTTGTTGACAATACTCTAGAAGAGGCAAGCAGTATCCATACTACAGGTAAGTAGAGAGGACATCTTTCCCAGTTAAATCATTATGACATTCTCTTTGAATAAAAACCTAATTCTTTGTAACAATAATAGCATTAACACACTTAAATTTAAAATTACCTTTCAATGTCCACAACTTTTATCTCAATGTTCCTCCTAATTTGGAGCTAGGCCTACAAAAGGATCTAAATCTTTTGAAAGAATGATGCCTGAGGCCATTTGCCACATGAAAGCTTGACAAATTGATGTAATCCAAAACACGAAAGGAATTTCATGTGCAAACTGTAGAGCTGGGCCTTTGATTTCATGTATAACAACATGCAATTATTATAGCTTTAGACTACTCATATCAATATCTCTAAATGCCAAACTATTTGAGCTGTGTAACTAATATTTCCCAGAGAAACCAGCAAAAAACATGAGTGTTGAGCCCTTGATATTAAGGTTGTAATTCTTTCAGATTTACCGTCTGGATTTTTTAAACTTCTGAGCAGACGTGCCTAGGATCTTACAGGATAGACACAATAAACCTATGCTGATATGTATATATAATGAAGCCTTTACGGGGGTGGGGGGGAGACTTTTCCTTTGTCTATAGGAATTCACTATTCTGCAATGAAGACCACAGTAGGTAAAGAGCACCTAGCTATATATAAAAAGGAGAAACTGCAGAGTGAATTAAATCAAATTATTTATTAGTTAACATTCTGTGGATTCATTAAAAGAGTTTCCTCAATTAATTAAGCATCCTTGCACCTCTAAGCAACTTAATGGATTTCTAAATAGCAGGCCATCTCCCACCCACCCCAACAAACCCCTCAAAAGCTCTGTTATTTCACCTCATTCTGGTAGTTAACTTTCTGGGAGTATGAATAAAAAACATAAGGAGTATATACCAAAAATAAAAGCTAGTATTAGAATTCACCTACAGTATAAAGTTCATCCCAGCTGCCTAGCTAAAGCAAGCAGGTGCCTATATTAGACAGTAGCAATATGGGAAGATGAAGGAGGTACATGGTGTTTTTAGAGACAATAGCAAATCTATTATTTGAATTAGTATGCTAAGGGTCACAAGATGAATGATTTAGAGAAGAAGAAAAAAAGCAGGATGGAAGCACAGTGAAAAACTACATGATAGAGATGTCAACGTCCAAGATAATTTAGAAGATGTTCCCTATTCACAAGAACTTGTACAGATGAAAGATGAAATTTGATCAGCATTTTGATTATTACCAAGTTGATGACAAGAAAGAACAAAATGATCAACAACAAGATACATAGATATAATTACAGCAGTCATAGGTATACTGTGAGGAACCCTGAAAATTTACAATGGGAATAGATTATCTTGGTGCATGTCTACACATGTGATTATTAAGATTAGATGTTGATTTGAGGGCACATAATCAATTGATAAGTCAAAGCATTTCCAGTTCTTCCAAGCTCGTCTTTGTTGCGCCATTTTATGTGTCTGGCTAAAAAGAAAGGGACTTAGGCAAGAAAAACCAAAAGTACACATATAGACTGGGTGAAACCAGGCTCAATAGCAGTAACTTGAGAGGGATCTTGGAGTCTTAGTGGACAACCAGCTAAATATGAGCCAATAGTGTGCAGCAGCAGACAAAAAAGCACAGAAGGATACAATCAAGATCAAGGGAGGTACTAATACCACTCTATAAAGCCTTAGTAAGATCACACCTAGAGTACTGCATCCAGTTTTGTTCATCACATTAAAAAAAAGATGTTGAGGCTCTAGAAAAAGTACAGAGAAGAGCAACCAGGATGATTAGGGGACTGGACGCTAAAACATATGATGAACAGTTGCAGAAATTGGGCTTGGCTAGTCTAGTAAAGAGAAGGACCAGGGGAGACATGATAGCGGTCTTCCAATATTTGAGGGGCTGCCACAGAGAGGAAGGGTTGAAGCTATTTTCTAAAGTGCCTGTAGGCCAGACAAGGAATAATGGATGGAAACTGAACAAGGAGAGATTTAATTTGGAAATAAGGATAAACTTTCTGACAATGAGAACCATCAACCAATGGAACAGCTTGCCCTCGGAAATCATGGGAGCACCATCACTTGAGACTTTCAAGAAGAGATTGGACTGCCATTTGTCAGAAATGGTGTAGGGTCTCCTGCTTGGGGGGGGAGTTGGACTAGATGGCCTACAAGGTCCCTTCCAACTCTGATTATCTGTTATCTGACTCTTACTGTTTATCCATTATGAAGCAGGATCATCTACACACATGGAATTGGAAAGATAAACTACTTTTAGTTGTAAGCACTTTCAAAAGTCTGAGTATAGTTCATTTCACTGTCTTTCATGCTGAAGGAAAACATTTGCTTAGATTCAGAAAAGTAGTGAGAAACTTACATTGTGAATTCCAAACCTTTTCCAACTTGATATCAAAAGCCTTTCCACAGGTTATGTGTATTATATTGAGACTGTGTGTGTGAGGGGGGGTGGGGTTGTAAATTGTTTTTAACCCAATATAATGCATGTAACTTTCTCTTTTTTTCTGTTCAGGACCTCCTGGGCAAATCCTGCAGCTTTCTTGGTAAGGTTTGTCACAAGTTGTTGTGTCACAAGTTGTGTAGGAATTGTAAATATTCTAATGGATTTTCCTGAGTATTAGCTATTTTGTGAATGTGCCAAATTGCCAATTTTCAAGTTCAGTTTTTTCTATCATAAATACAAAATAAGCATCCACTTGCATTGCATATTAGTCAATATATCTAATGCAGAACAAAACAATGATATCTGTGCAATTTACATATTATTCACTTTTTCATTCACTGAACTTATATGCAGTATTTATTATTTGTTTGTTTATTCCATTTATTTGCTGCTCATCTTGTATAACCAACTACTCTTGGTGGCAGAGTCCTACTCTTGAATGTGTTTGCAAAATAATTTTAAAGAATTCTTAATAATTTCTACAGAGGATTATGGTGCAATATGTCTTTGTTTCAAAAACATTGGGTATGTTTAGATAATACCTTCATCTTCTTCTACTGTGTTTTCTGTCCCCTAATTTATGAGGACTTTATACCTACAAAATATATATTAAAGGTGGGAGATTCAAACAAACTGCTTTTTGGGGGAAGAAGATAACTGTCTTAAGAAAGTATTCTATTAGGAGTTGCTGAAATACAGCCAAAATCACTCCTGTATTCAGGAATGCACTTGTCCATGCAAGATAACAAAATTCATATTCTATTAGCTGTGTAGAGTTACTGTTCTGGCACCAAAGACTTTTCAAAATATGCTATAAACTTTATAATTAACATCAGTTGTGATGCTAAAGATGAAACAGAACACTGGAGTATTTCTTGGCATGCATTCCAAAACATGCAAGTCATCAAATGTAATTTGTGGCATGAAGCTGGCTTGGCATGAAAGTACTACAATATTTGTAAGACATCTCTCTAAATGATGCTCCCTAATGAAGATGCACCTTTGGAACCATGAAGCCTAAATGTCTCCCATTTGACGAGCAAATTCCATAAAGCAGAAATGAACAATTAGTTTGAACTTGACTTTCCACTTGATTCTTGAGCAAGTAGCCACAAGATGGCTTTGAGAATTCTCATGAAATAACACGTCTCTCAAAAACTTGCTTTGAATTAATTTGGGTCCAAAATATTAACCCATTACATACTTGGTATTTATTTATTTTTATTTAATTCATGGCCAAACTTCCCATATCACAGCATTCCATTCAATTTTCAAATGTCCATCTGTTGTGATTGGACATGTTGATCTAGATTTTCCTAGAACAGACTACAAGTCCAGCATTCTATTCCCACAATGATCATTTATGCCCAATGTCGAAGGGAGGTCAACCTGCAAACAAAACATGATGAAAGTAACAGCATCCTCCAACACATGTCCCTTACCACATAATATTTACATTGCCTCTGATAGTGGAAGTATACAGCTATTATGATTAGCTGCTAAGATTATCTTATAATCCATAAATGTGTCTACACTGTTTGTGATGGTATGGAAAATCTTATTTTGAGCATCAGGAGAACATCAAGTTATACAAGATCTTGTGATACAATATTCCAAATAATAATTATGTGCTTTTTAAACCATTCTTCAGTGCAAAACTCTGGTTTGTACTAAGAGAGGTAGAGAAAAGGGTTTTGCCACACTAGACATAAATGTATTAATTTGTATTATTCCTGTCTTACTCATTCTTTAAAAGTAGTTTATAGCAGTAATAATGATAGTATGGATATATCCAGAGATATAATTTAGAATTTTAGATAATAAAATGTCACAGTGTGGATCAATATCAATAAACAACATGTTGTTTAACCACCACAAATAGTTTTGTCCTAACCCATCACTTTCTCCCACTCTTCTCTTATTCCTGTTCCCGGACTGATGAATTTAGTCTAGTTAATTAACTAGATTTCACATTAAGACATAAGAAAACCTAGTCTTACTTACTAAACACATCTCCTCGGGGTTTCTGTGGCTCAATTGGGATCCTATTGTCAACCGTAAGTCCCGGTTGGGCTGTAGTTTCAGTAGGAAAAGGCAGACGCTCCTCAGTTACTACTTGTGGCATTGTTGTTGTTACAGGCTTAAATGGAACTGTGGGTTGTTGGGGAGGACTTGTCACTGGTGGAAGTCTTGTCACTGGCCTGAAAGCTGGTCTTGCTGTGGCAGGTTGTATTGGCAATCTGGTATATGGTTTGTATGTTGGTTTCACAGTTGGTCTTGCTGTTGTCTTCACATAAGACTTTGGTGTAATTACATATGGTATATATGGCAATTGGATGGGATATTTTGTACCACCATATTCAGGTATTCTGTTGGTCATGCCATTGCTTCCTTTCAGAAAAGTTGAATTGCTTTTAAATACACTATAGGGGTTAGATGGATCAATCATAACTTTAGGAATCCCTGGAAAGAAAAAACCGAGAAATGTGCAAATTTAAGAAATGATGCCGTGTTAACTTTAACAAAAGCAACTACACAAAAAAAAAACAGGGTTTCTAGACTAATATCAACATAAAAGTATTATAATGCTTGCTTATAGCTTTGTTGGTATAATTTTCTATCTTTAATTCATAAGTACAGTTTCCACATCTATATGGGATTATCACATATTCAAGGAGATACATTTTTTTCATAAGATGGCTATGTAATCTTCAAAGTAAACAGGACTTCTAGAGTTCCAACAAAACTAGACAGCACCAGTTTTCTTGAAATATATTGCATTTTAATAGCAACAGAAATTATTCAGGTGTGCGCTTGTAAACATAGTGGAGGCTTCACAGTTTTAAACTTGTAAAATGTATAAGCAAATACACATGTGCTTAAATATTATCTTAATTAAATAGTTGAGGTATTTGTTCAATAGAAGAAAGCACATTCTTCTTGGTGTATACATTGCTCAAATTATCTGATCACAGAACCTTAATATTCCAACCACTACAAACACTGTACCAATTTGGAAAAATATATTTTACACCAGCCTTTTAATATGGCTACCAAAATGGTACTGATGTCCAGGTGGCCACAGAAGAGCAGCAAAGATTTGGAGTTTCCCAATGACCACCCAGTGGTTATCTGGATTTAAATAGTCCAAATGTCATAGCTCTAATATTAAGGCTCTTAAAACTTTCAGAATATTCTTCTTTTCTTTACAAGTGTTAGTGAAACTGAGATAACCACAAATGGATCTAAAAATTCGCTTCACAAAGAGGCCATGTCTCATTTGGATTCAGAATACAAGATTAAAAGGATCATTACATACTTATGCAGTTTAATCCATCACCTCTGTACCCTTCTTTGCATTTACATTTGTAAGACCCTAGTGTATTGTAACACTGGGAATAACCTCCACACTGATGTTGGCCAAGAGAGCATTCATCTATATCTGTAACAGGAAAAGAAAAGATAAATACCATTTCAATGATAACTATCACACATTTGCATTTTCAAACTAACATTCTTCCTTGTAAAAAAATTGAAATAAATCCCATTACTATATTAAAATGCTGAAATGCTAAGTGAAAATTAAGATAGTAGGCAAATTATTTGAAGAGTCTTGAATGAATCTGAAATTTTAAGAAGGTCTCAGCAGACTTATACAAGCAACGGAATAATAAAAGGTCAGAAGTTTTAGATAGTTGAGTTTTAATTTATAAGCTTTTCTGTGATAATTGAATACTGTAGGCTACAAAAAGGAACCACATATTACAGGATGGATTCACATTGCTTGAATCCTAAATGTCTAGATGGCTAGGCAAAATTCTATGAACTATGGTTTACTAAACATAATGGCTGGGTTTCCAGTTGATGCTATGCAAAATTGAATATAACCACGCTTATCTTTTTGAGATATTTGAATCCAGCCAAAAAATTGGCTCACCCTCCCAGCCTGGTACTAATAGGACTAGTGTTTAAGTTCCCCTTCACTTCCTCCATAATTCAGGTCTGTCAGATCTGGGCAGAAAAAGCCCATATAATCAGTAGATGGTGGTAATGAGCTTGTTCTGACCCAGGCTTTGTTCAAATTAAGAAATCACATGCTGTGTGTAAAAGCAAACTTTTTTTAATATGACACTGGGAATTATTTGCATTCCCAGACAAAACATATCGAACACAATTGTCTGAGATAAGAGCACACCTTTCAGGATTGTAAAAGGCTGCCAAGAAACAGATGTTCATTTAATTAGCAGATAAACCAACAGACGTTCCAGCAAAGACAAACCAGAGTCTGCAGGGCTGTGATGAGGAACCAGAATCTAATGAACTTCTTTGCTTCTTGCAAAGAGCACATCCCCGAGGGCTGGCTTTTATCCCTTATGGGAGGGGCAATTACCTCCCAGCCTTATTCCTGAGTTGCCCCTGATGCTTTAGCTGCTCTCTCCTAGCAAACCTGTGCACATATGTACTGGAAAAGGGTCCCCAGGGTCCTCTGCTTTGCTGCTGCCAGACTCCAAAGGCTCCAAAGGCAGCACTCCACTCTCAGATGATCCTGGCCCCATCCTTGCATCAGATGCAGGACCCTCATCCAAGTCCTCGCCAGACTGCCTGACTGGTTCCCTATCATCCTCACTGTCCGATACTTTTGCCGTCTGCACTGGCTGCGGGCGAACCACAACAGAGCCTAAATGGCTATCATGAATTTTACAGAAGATAAGGAAGTTACCTCTTACAGCTCAGTTTAGTTCTAGCATAGATAAATGTGAGTTCATTTTGATAATTCAAAAGACTGGATATAGTGGAGATCCAGAGAGCATAAACTCAGAATTCTACAGTTCCTGTAATGTGAAGTGAAGTTGCAAATGCATTTGGCTAAACATGGGTTTATAAATTTTTGTAGAAGAGATGTCTCCAATTATACAAAATATGATAGCAATATGTAGGCAAATACAGGTGTCAAATCCCTTCAGAGATTCCCTGTTGCACGTGGCAGTTGAAGACAGAGAGAGCAAAGCAACCCTGCTTCTATTTCAGACTTATATTTTTCAAATGTGTGAAGTGCAACAAATATTTAAAAATGGTTTTCTTTTAATGAATGATTTTCATTACCATGGCATTGGTATCTGCCTCCAATGTACATCAAATCAAAGCCTTTATGACACTTGCAAATATAACTTCCAAAAGTGTTGACACATTTTCTGAATCGGGGACAGGTAACACTCCCAGTGATGCATTCATCCACATCTACAAACAGAAGTCCATTAATAATCTGTAGCAATGAGTTTCATGTATTCAAATTCAAAAACACATTCATTGTGGATAATCTGAAAGGCTAATAGTCTTCTGGGACATTACTTTTTGTGTATTATTAGTGCTGTGCAAAAATTACAGTTAAATTGTAAGATGAATGTACTGATAACTCTACTTTTCCTGATCTTTTCAAATGGAATCTCTCACCCCTAATGTGGCATAATTTTACAAAAAGCAGGTTTAAATTCTGTGAAGAACAATTGTATGCAAAACATTGTAAATGTTAGAAAAGGAGTTATAAAGGAAGAATTAGAACACTGAAATGTTTAATTTAGGAAGAGGTAACTAAAATATAGTATCCTTCAAAAGCACAATTTATTCTGATTTATTATTATTATTATTATTATAATTTATCCTGTTGCACAAGTGAATTTTATTGGCAGATCTCCATGCTGAAAATCAAGTTCAGCCAAGGACACTAAATGGCTATTTCAAAGAATTGGTTCAATACAATCATTGGAAGGTTTCATACACAAACTATTATGCTTGTCAAAAGTTTTATTAACTGTTTCTGGAAACTATTACAAAATGGAATTATGTATTTACATAATGATTTATAGAGAACATTTCCAAGACTCCAGGCATACCAGATTCTAAGGATCAACATCCTAGTAATATATGAAAAACATACATTCTCTATATATTCACAACACTGAAAGCAGAGATTTTGGTTACTGTGTTCAATTCTCTGCTCTATTATGAATCCAACTGAAAATATCTGTGATACATCATTATCCAGTTTCTGTCTGAACACAATAACTATAAATCAGCTGTGGTGGTCCCTGTGGCTTTTGGCACACTGGGTGTGATAATAAAAAATCCTAGACAGCACTTAGAAAATCAGTGTATTGACAAAATTGCCATCTGTCAGTTACAAAAGGCTACACTCCTTGGATCCATACATATACTTCCCCGATACATTATGGTTTGTCCTAGGTTCTTGGAAACGTATGGATACGTATGAAAACCAATACCAATTAAAAAACTGGCAACTCTGATTTCACATTGTTATGTATATGATATTATTTAGTTAACAGTGTGACCAACCACAATAATTTAACTTGTATGCCATCTAACTCTAAATGTCTTTGGGCTGCTCACAACAATCATACAAAGGAATTACAGTAAAATCAATAAAAATAAAGATAAAAGAGGCTAGAGCAATGAAGTAAAGGGTCTCACTTTTCCTCAACAAAGGTCTGAGTAAAGAGTCATGTCTTCCTGTCTCTATTAATCAAGAGCAGGTGGAGGTATCTGGTTCTTTGGAAGAACCTCATTCCAGACATCAGGGGATGCTACAAAGAAGACACACTTCTAGGGTTCTTGGAGATGACATCATTTAATTAAGGGAACCCACTGAATGGTTCCTTCAAAACTGGTCCATTATCAAACTGCCCTTCATATCAAGTTTTTCCCCAATTTTTAGTCAGAATCTGCCTTTTTGAAGTTTAAGTTCACATTGTAAGTGGCCATAGGAGGAAGCAAGGAGGAGGAAAGCATAAGATGAACTGTACAATCACAAAGCTACTCCATCACAACACAAGTATAAAAAGGCAGATATTTCATCTTGATGACCCAACACACATTTCATCATTTTGGATCATTGTAGGAACAGATTCTTCTATCTCCATAATAGTTTCTAAAAACAGTTAATTTTTATTTCTGATAAATATTGTGATATGGAGAAAACTATATGATAATTTCCTACAGTATTTAAAGTTAACAAATTCATTTCAGTGGTCATGAGATGTTCTCCTTTACTGTAGTATATTCTTTCAGTTGTATAATGCTTTTTATTTTAAAAAAACTATTTCTGAATGAGATGTTCAGGTTGGTTAAAATACGTTAAGATTCTTTACTTCTTAAAAATCATTCATATAATATAATATTTTCAAGAATGAAAATGCTTTTCTCTTGCTTCTCTCTTTTTCTGCCCCACATTAATTGTGAATGATTTGTTCATTATTACATTTAAACAAAAATAGTACTTTTTCAGTCTTTTTTCACTACAGAGATTACTAACCCTAAGAATATTTTTTTCCAATTTTATTCTTCTACCTGGTTTAAAAATTCAACATGCATAACAGTTAACAGAATTGAAAGGCCCAAGAATATTAAATATCCCACTAGTGTATCAGGAATGGAGAACTGTTGTTTCTAAGAATTTGATTTGCTTGAGTATTCGTTTGACACATGTGTAATATGGCCACTTTAAAGTTTGTGGACTTCAACTCCCAAAATTCCCCAACCAGCATGTCTTAAAGTGGCCAAGCTTAGGCACTCCTGTTGTAAAGTCTCCTTTAGTTTCTAAAGTTTCTTCCTTCAAACAAAATTTATTCTCACAGGCTGCCTAGAATTTCCACATCTTGTGGAAGAGAGAAAATAAATATCTTTGACTCACCAATGCATGTTCTGCCATCTGGTGCCAGCTGTAACCCTGGTGAAGGACAACGACAATGTATTTCCCCCTTGACCACATCACAGCCATATTGACAGTTTGCCATTGAACACGTGAGAGCATCTGTGGAGAAATTAATATGCTAATCAAATGCTTCAGAACGTTCCATGCTGTCAAGTTATTTTTAAAATAGCATTGCCATGCACTTTATCAACAGAAAAAGCCAATGGAAACATTGCTGTGATTAGCTTGCTGAGACCTTTCCTTCCTGACTGCAAAGAAAATTTTGCTATTTCTTCCATTCCTGATGTACTAAAATATACTAATAAAATTGACTACTAAAATTTGTAGTCAATTTTATTTCAATAATGGAAAGGTGGAACTTTCTTTCTACTATTACAACCTGTAGTGGCACAGTGGTTAGAATGCAGTATTGCAGGCCAACTCTCCATCTTAGTTCCAGGAGTTCAGTCCTGAACAGCTCAAAGGTTGACTCAGCCTTCCATCCTTTTGAAGTCGGTAAAATGAGGATCCAGATTGTTGGGGGCAATATGCTGACTCTGTAAATTGCTTAGAGAGGGCTGTAAAGCATTGTGAAGCCCTGTAAGTCTAAGTGCTATTGCTATTCACTTACAGGAAAACTATACTAAAACATTAAAAGAGCAAACCTATCAAGCATGGGATGATTTTGATAGATTTCATTTATCTGAGGAAACCCACCTAGGGTTATAACGGTACATTCAGCCAACATTGAATTATGGTGGATTCAGCATTCCAATTATGGAATTATCTCCCAATAAATATTCAACTGATATCTAAACAAACTTGTTCACCCAGTTCAATTAATGCTTCAGGAATATACTGTCTTTAAGACTGTTGCTTTGCTTTTCTGTTTTTAAAAATGGTTTTTATTTTATTTATTTATTGCTTTTAAGTGACACAGAAATAAAAGTTATTGTATAGCGAACTTGTATAGTATAGAGCCCTTCTAATTCATCGGGACTTCAATTTCCATTTCCAGCCCACATGGCCAATCAAGAATTTGTGATATTTTAGTTTTTGTATTGTGGGGAAGGCTGCCACTTATTTAACAAGTTTTCAGTACCAAACAAATAATACCAGGACAATTTTTTTGCATCAAAATGCACTGAGTAGCAAATTTGATGAGTTTCAAAGCAGTTGAGTAACCAGGTACCACTGTGTTCATCTTTCACTGCTTCCAATCACTCTGATTTCCAATACTTCCTGGATTCTCAAACGTTCTCCTTGCCACTTACACATCTCTATCCCACCATCTTTTCTTGGTGGAAGAAAGGAAAAATTAGAGCAGTGTGTATTTAAAACATTCAGCATAGGTGGGGAAAGCCTGAATATTTAGAAAGGCTACAAGGATACAGAACATTCTTGGCAGAAAGTAGAAATCAGCTCTTTTGGTAGTTCCATTTCTCCTCTCAAGTCAAAATTGCCTGACTGGTTGAACTTTAAAGTTTTTAAACCCAATTTTGATTCTGATGAGGGTGAAGATTGAGAAGAAGTAGGAACAGAGAAATAACTGATGAAAGAAATACAGAGAATGTTTCACCTCAGACTGAAAGTGAATTTTGAAATATGTGTGGTGTGTGTGAGTTCCTAATGAAGAAAAATAGAGATGGAAGAAGGGAACACTCCCTCAAAACCAGAAAGAGGGAAAGGACAAGTATTTTGTGAGTCATGTGGTGATGGTGATGAAATCAGAGATAAAGAATAGACTTGAGGATAGAGAGTAGTTAGTGATTTTCTTGCTGAACATGTCAGACATATAATACAATTCATTGGCTTCAAGGTGACTAAGCACTACATTAAGAGCCTATTAATTCTAGGAAGAAAAAATAAATTTATATTATTGAATGTATATACATAATTTGTGTAGTCTGACCAACAATGATTAACTGTTTTGTATAGTTTCATTACTGTCTGTAACAAATATTTATAACTAGTAGAGATGTGAATCTACTGCCAAGATAAGCCAAGAAGCCAATCTATGTCAGAAGATCGATCAATTACTGTCAAGACCTGGCCAGGGAATTCTGACAGCAATATTGCAACTTAACAAACATTATTAATTCTTGCTATGTTGTAGCATTCTAAATATGACAATTGTGAGTCACCTCAAAGTGACTCTTGTATCTCATGAAAATAAAACAAATGGAATGCTATTTCTTCTTTTTGTTTTGTTTTATGGTCTCATTACTAGAGTCCTTTGCTTAAGGCAAATTAACTCCTGCTTCTAAGGAATTGCACTGTAAAAAAAAAATTGAAATAATGAGAACTTAACCTACTAGAACACGATCCGTCAGGCATAAGCATGTACCCATTCAAGCAATAACATTTGTAGCTTCCATAGGTATTCATACATCGATGTTTGCAAGGCCTTGGTTTCAATCCACATTCATTGAGATCTAAATAGGATATAGGAAGGGTGAGGAGGAAGAAATAAAAACAAAGCAAACATTGAATGCTAGCATTTTGAAGTTTCAGGACTTTCAAAGTCGGTTCTTTTAAAAAAATAAGCCTGCTTTACATAGTAGATGACTTTTTTTTAAAAAAATGTACTTATAATTGTTGAATAGACCACAGTGCATTAGCTTGTATAGGAGCAGTTAAATGTTGGCTTGTATAATACACTAAATTCTAGTTTTAATTTTTATATACTGTTTTTATATTTTGATGTTTTACTGTAGACCGCCCAGAGTCCCTCTTTGAAGGAGATGGGCAAAAATGTGATAAATACATACATACATACACGCATACATTCACACACACACGCCAAGCATTGTAGCTTAGCATGACATTATCTGATCTAAGGCAATGAATAATTTTAAGCTTGTTAAGTTTGTATTGTAATATTGTGAATAACAAATGCTAATAAAATATCTTTTATGGAAGTTCTGTTACTTATTCTTAGAACCAAGCATACATTTAGCTTTCTGTGAGTATGTGTAGTTAAATTGAGGTAGTATGTTCTTGTTAGAAAAAAGTGGTTAAGTGGTTGTCATAAAGAATTCAATCATTACTGGTTGACATAACCCAAACTTAGTAAATAGATATAAATATATACAATATATTGTAGGAAAAATGCAATAGCCTATTGAAACGTTTATACTGTTTCAGATTCAAAAAGTGTAGATTATGACACATAGTTTGCTAGACATAGTTTGGTACACGAATGTAATGGTTTTGGGAGTGTTAGGGTGAAGTGTTAAAATAAATCTTAATAGGGGAAATATATTAACACTGTTTCACTAAGATTTTCACTCCTTGCTTAATTTTAATTAAACATTAATTGTACATTTTTGCTGACTTTGTTCAGTGGTCAAAAGTCTGGAATATATTATTTTAAGGTTCAAATCTTGTACTGGAAATAGGATATTTCAAACCAGCTTCATTGTTTCTGTACTGGTATTCCGTTCAAAGGCTAGAAGTGTTGAATTGGAGTTCTCCACTATAATTTAATTAAAGAAAAAAAATCCCTTTTTTAACCCAACTGTTTTTCTGTAACATCATCTCTAATAAGCCACCTTTCTGTTTACATTCTATAACAGCTTTCTTTGATTGGATATATACAACAATATATTTTATCAGCAATATGGTATGATACTAATATGGATATCAAAGGCTCCACTGAAAATTTCAATAACACACACACAAAAGCTAGCCTTCAGTAGGGATTTCTCAAGTAGAAACAATTGTCTATAAATGGGCCATAGACTTATTTTGTTCATTTGGAAAATAATTTAAGGACATCAAGGTAGGCATAATCTTGCAAAGGATTTTATACAATAATCATAGGGCAACCTTTACTCTGAGTTGTGCTTTTTCACTGACCTCAGTAGCCTTTGATAATTTATATGAACTATGCAGACAAAGCAACAGGAATGCATATATCTCCACATGCCTTACAAATACACTGAATACACACAATCCTGTGCAACAATCCAGATACAAGTCTGCTACTCTCAGAACTAATTTTGAATCCTGTTCAATCCACACTAGTTGTAGTGGTTATCTACACCATATAATCTTGTTTTTTTTTAAAAAAAAAATCTATTCACACACAAAACTGTAAGATACATCATATTCTTCCTCCATTCTAAGACTTGCCTAAGATTGAAATAAGAATGATTAGGGCAAGATTAACCATTTTTATGGTATAGTTACGTTTTCTTCTCCCCAAAGTTTACAATTTTATCTCACTATTTTAGCCAGTGATACTATGCCAGTATAGTGGAAACTATATAAAGGGAAGGACTAGTTAGCGCTAAACATGTAAGCATTAGTTAGTTTAGCTAAAAAAGTGTAATTATTTTTTAATAAACTGGCCTACATGTTGCATTTTTCAAAAAGATCAGAAAATGTGTTCCACAAACATCTTGCTTAGAATACTCTACGAACTAAAAAGGGTAAATCTAGAAAGTTGGATCGATTGTAACAAAAAGTTACAAAACATTAATTATCGAAATCTTTTTTTAAAAAAGTTCCACTTTAATTTTCCATGTTTCTTTGCACTTTGAAAACAATTTAATCAGAGGTGCTTTAGCAAGCTTCATAACCAGAAGCTAAAGATACACACAAAAAGAGTAGCACTAAAATAATAACATAGGATTATTATCATTACAACTCTATATTGAAGAGCATATAGAGAAAGCTAGGTGTTGAAGCAGCCCTTTTAAAAAAGCCAGTCTCATAAGCGCAGGCTGCCAAGCTTAGCTACTGCATTATAGCAAGAGAAATGGTTATTGCCTTTCTTAGAAAGCAAAGGGCTTATGTGTGCTACCATTGCAGAAGAGTTCCTAGCTAATATAATGAATCCCTAACAGTTGCCTCTAACAATGAACTATAACTGCTTTTCAGATGCCATAGAATCAAAACTTTTAATCACTTTCAGCTAAATGAAATGAAACTGTGCTTCCAGGATCAGGCTTGGAGACATCGTACATGCTGAAATCCACCAGAGGTATGGAAGGACATGACAACTCTGCAATATTTAAATCCTTTTCAACTTCTCTTTGTTCTTGCCTGCCAGTATTTCTGCAGGCTCCAAACAAAAGTTGAACTAGGGACAAGACAGTCATCTTCCCAACCATCAAAGAGATCTAACTGTAGGGCCCGTTCTCCCAATAATAATTACAGACTGCAAGTGCACCAGCAGAAAACAAAGGAGCTATTACCCTCAGTTCAGCAGGTAACAATAAAAACATTTAAAGAACCTTAAGGACAATTTCCTGCACCGGAAAATGTGGTAAAATATTGATCCTAGGTTAATTATTTATAATTAATAACTTACACGGGTTATAACCTGAATCTTGTGAGTGATATTTCCAGTCAGCACAATAATAACCCTTAACAAGCCACATTGTCTGATAGTTTTCCTGTTGAAAAATCATAATTTGTGACTAAACTTTCAAACATGCAGCATTATTCTAAATGAATTTCCTATTCTCAAGATATGATGGGACTCCAGAAAGCCCTGCTGAATGGGATTTCTAGAAGTATAATCCCAACAGATCTATAGAACATCAGGCCTATAAGCATTCAGATTCTGATTACTATTGTCCCATGTACACTGTGCTATCTGAAAAAAATGCACCAAGGACCTGCTCAATTGTCACAGCTAGCAGACCTCTGGGAATTATCCAATTATCTTCTTGAATAATATATTGCAAAGCACTAGGAAGTCCACTGTACCTCTCAATAGATATCAAAGAGAAGATCTATCCATTCTTCCCACTCAAGTTTTCCTATTCTGCAGCATCTTAGATACAATAGTTGTCTTTCTTATCTTTTGATATCTACTAGGTCTGACATTATCTACATACTGTACAGCACTTTTTACTTATGTTCTTCTAAATCTCTAGATGGAGCATCAAATCCTAGATTTTCTGCAAATCATAAACCTTTTTTTAGAATTTGTCATCTCGTTTACAGTAAACGTATAAGCTTTGGGATTGCCTGTAAGTTACATTATTATTGCCATTGCTCATACTATACGGTGCATGCATTTTACATGCTAACACTAGCACTACTGTTCCTGGAAGAGAGGCTGCCAGAGACATTAACAATTACTACAATTATGTTTACTTAACCTTTTATAAGCAAGCAGCATTTTATCAATTAAAAAAGAGTTTAGAAAAAGTAGCATACATCTCAAAAGCTCTGAGCAGAAGAACAACCACAGGAGGAACGTTGTTGCAGAAGAGAATTGATTGGAAGATAGAGGGACTGTCTTAAGGAAGTGTCAATGCTCAGTCTAATTGCATGCTGCCTATATTGCAGGTTTCCTTGTGGCAGCCAGAAGTGTGTTATCCTTTCAGCCTGTTTGCAAAAGAGGTTTCCATTGGTACTGAAGCCGTGCAGGTGGACCACCTGAAATAAAAGGACTGTCCTCACCCCTCCAAGGCAAATATGTGGCATGATCTTCCGCAGTGGTGAAAAAGGGTGGCTCACTGGACCAGTGTGGAGAGGTTGCAAACAGGTGTTCAGCTTCACAATGGAGGAGAAGGCATAATAAAAGTCAAATGACTGAAACTCAGCAACACAACATGGCACTTTATTAGATGAAATACCTTTTTTTTTCATGTTACAGTCAACTATCTCAGTTCTCTACAGAACAGCAGCAGATTAGGTTTAGGGGAAGAGATCACCAAGCTGAATTTGTAGCATGGGCCTGAAAAAGCTGAATGTTCAACTGAGGTACAGAGAAGTCGCTGCTATACAAACCTTGAGAAGGTGAATCTTCTTGTAAATCCGGAGTCAGAAATTATTCAAACAGATGAGCACATCTACTGGGGTACCCACCAATGATACATAGTGCAACAGTTCAGATTTAAATGAAGTGGAAGCTTACATTTAGAGAGAAAAACATGAACTGAAATGGTCAAGAGTACTTGCTACAGAAAGTGTTTTGTGATAGGGCCCCATTGCACCAGTGTTCTGGGAATTCCTTTTGTCCCAACCTTTTGGCAATTCTTGCTTAGATTAGAAAGAAGGTACAGTATAATACACTACCAAAAGTAGAAGAAAATCTAACAGTATGATGTATTGTGGGAAGGGGAAGGAGAGGGGTAAGGTAGGAAAGAGGCTAGGATAAAATGTAAAGTTTCACAAGAATCTTTCAGGCAAAGTTTAATACATCTGAACAAGTACATTTTTTTTATAACATTTAGAAAATTTCACTAAGCTATGGAAAGTGGGAAATAATTACCAGGAAACACATTTCCCGTTGCACCAACTTTCTCAAGTTGTCAGATATTCTGAAATGTTCTAAAAGCTTCAGAAAAAAATAATTAGTGTAACTACACCTTTAAGCACTTGAATACAGAGAATAAACAGACATAAGTTTCACTTAGTTGGAATTTTCTTCATTTGATGAAATGAATATTTTTTCTATTTAAATTATTTTAGCATATGGATTTCTTTGCTTGTTTTTTGAGAAAGGAGTCCTGATCATAGCAAGTTGAATTAAGTTCCCACAGCTTGTTAAACTGTAAATATTTATGAAGGGTTGTGTTTGGCTGAGCTAAGCAGCAAAAATTTGAATTTTTTTTTGTAAGAGATAATACAATTTGTCACTCAGTTCAAACTGGCCAAGAGGGAAAATAATGTGATCTACAAGCCACACATATTTCCTGCCAAAATTTCCCTTTTTTCTGTCCCCAGATTACCCAAAAGTGAATAGATTCTCTTTTAAAAATGTACTCCCTTTTTCTGTTTGGCGGTAATCAGGGTATTTGGGGGGGGGGGGGATAATTTTTTTCTATCCTGAAGCTCACTTTGGGAGTGAAGACTTTGATGTGTCTTCAAACCAATGGAAATAAGGAGAAGATACCAAAGATTCCATAACTTTCATTTGATAAAAAAAATGCCATTGATCTTGACTATCATTAAATCAAGTAGCCAATATCTTTATCCTACCTAGAGAATGAATGAAGCTGTACTTCTGCAGTATAAATTACTTTTCCTTTATAATTCTGATAAGGACCAGGCAATAGCTACTATGAAAACAAAGCAATTAACTGAAGTTTTATACAGTTTCAGTTTTATTTGTGTTTCTTTCCCTTTTTTTGTTTCCTTACCTTGGTTGCAAATTTTCCCAGTGTATCCTGGATGACATTTGCATTTGTTTGGACCGATACATTCTCCATGCTTACATCCAGGTTGACAAACAGCTGTGAATACCCAAAAAGAAGGCTATTATTCTTTTTTCAAATTAAAATGCACACAGAATTAAAGGTATTAAATAAATTGTCATGCTCTTTGTAACTGTTGCATTTTGTTACCTGCTTTTATTGTTGTTGGTTTTAAACTTTGTATTGTTTTGACAAGTTAAAAAAATAGAACAGCAAGGTCTTTACTAATTGTTATAAAAATATAATCAATAGCAGCCTTCATTTGAATTAGACCAGTGAAGTAGTACAGACTTCCAGTACTGTATGTTTCTACTACAAAACTCCATCGTTAGACACATTTTCCCAAAGAGGAAAAAATAAAGCTGACTTGTTTATAAAAACAAAAAAAAAACCATAAATAAAACTTGCCAAAAAAAGCTGTCTCTTGGCCTCAAAAAAGGAAGCATCTTTCTTTTGTTTAAGTTTTTAAATACGAAATCTTAGGTATATTTTGCCACGTAAAGAAATAAAAAAATTCTAACAAATGCAAGTTGATAATCAAGAGTGTCACCAGAATTAAGACTCTTTGAGTTGGGCAGGAGGGAGGGGCAGGGGCTGCTCCCAGGAAAATTACAATAAGGTTGCAGCCTTTAGTGCAGAACTAATCCTCTGCCATGGTGAATAAACAGAAATGAAGGCAGAAACTGCAAGGAGATGGCTTTTAATTAAATGCCATGTAAGCTTATCCTTCAAGAACATTTTGTTGGGCTCGCATTTTACAAGGTGTCAAAAACATCCATATATATATATACACACATACATACATATATACATATATATATATTTTCTTAAGTTTTTGCGGGTACTTACATGTATGGTATTCAGCTTTGTTTGGGTATTTTCCCACATCATTATAGTTGTGCTTTTAAAGTTGTAGCAACGTTTCAGCAGAATCTCATCTGCCATCATCACGCTTCTGTATTGTATCATACAGAAGCCTGATGATGGCAGA